AAGTAGCTCAAAATACTGACATGCTATCTAAAAATACAACATAAATATACTGAAAAATATGGCATTCGAGTTCTGAAGCATGATTTTTTGGCTGATCTGCCTAGTAAGTATAAATCATGAGTTGATAGTTTATAAAATCTAGGGTTTTGAATTCTATACATTAAAATTACACTAAATTACCAAGAATCATGTTATTTACATCATGGGAACTATAACAACTAAAATCAAAATAAATCATCAAAATCTAGAAACCCCATGTCTGAATAGTTTATGAGAAATCAAAGAACTCACTGAATTGTAAGGACTTAATGGGTGGAAGGACCCACTAGTGACATCCCACATACCTAGTGAAATAAACTATGGAGAAATCATTTTGATTTTGGGGCTAAACTTCGAAGAACACCTCTTTTCGTTATTGGGAAAAATTGGTGCCTCTTTCTCTTCTTATTTTTTCTAAGTTGGATGATTTTAGGAGAATGAGGGTTCTAAGTTGTTACTGAATAGATTATTAGACTTAGTTTGAGTAAAACAATGTCGTTTATGCCTTAAATGACGTAGTTTAAGTGCCTAACTCATAAAGTAAAAGATCAAAAAAACCCTGACTTAAAAGTTGACAGACTTCTTTCACGGGCCCATTCACGGATCGCGTGAAGCACCGCGGGTAGTACAGGCAACCGTGGTTCCTCACAGAAGATTGGGTCATTTTTGTGGGGTTTGATGGACTGTTTAGTGGTATGTGGTTCCTCATAGGGCCTTGGGTTGTTCTGGTTTGTTCCCACTGCCAACCTTATGGCCCATGTGCAATTCCATGGCCCGTGTAGGGGTCCATGGTCATCCACATTATTGTTGGGTGTGAACCACGATGAGGGTGACGTGCCGTGGTCCTATTCACGACCCCCAGACCCCTCTGTGGTTCATTTTTCTCCCTTGTTGAGTCTTTGTTGGATTTTTGAGGTGTTACATTTTGTGTGGTGATTGTATTTCAAGCATGAGATTCTATGGATCAAAGCACTCTAAAGACAAAGGATCAACTTAATTAAAGAAGTGTAAGATCATCCCGAATGTGGAGGTGATATTTCAATTAGCAGAAGTGCTTAATTGCAAAAATTTAAGACACCTCGATGACTTATTTAGGGTTACCACAATGAGCATCATAGGAGGGCCTTGATAACTTATCTAGGGTTACCACTAGGAGAATCATAGGAGGAAATATGTTGTCGGGAATTCGGTGATTGGAAATCTTGAGAAGATCACAGGGTAACAAAAGAGTTACTAATGAAAACGAGGCAAGAATGTATTGATCTAGAGCACTGTAAATAGCACTTGTGTAGTTCAGGTCTCATGAACGCATACTAATGATATCAAATAGTTGAAGAGGCTATAAAGGAACTGTTGTAAGATTCAAAAATGGAACAAAAAAGTTACATGCAGAAGGAAAAGTATTTTATTTATAAACTCTTGCATATTTTGTATATTTCTGTGTATTTTGTATCTTGAAAATAACTAGTAACATTCCTATTTATAAAAAAGTAAAAACAAAATTAAACTTGGACTAGGAATTACTTTAACTAACAAATCCTAATTAAGCATAAACAAGTAAATACGATAAATAGCAAATCCTAATCAATTTAGGAATCCTACTCCAACTTTGAATTATTATTTCTAACATCCCCCCGTAATTTAAAGTTGTATACTCTAGCCTCTTTCTTTTTGTCATTTTTGTTGTATTGAAAACCACTTTTCTTCAATCTTCAAATTATTTCTTGTCATTGTTGTTGTATTGGAGAACTTCTCTTCAATGTTGGAGTAGTTCTCTTCAATTTTCATTTATTTATTTTTCTTGGTTGTGTCAAAACACTTTCTCTCCAACTCACGATATGTTTTTCTTTATTGTGTTGGAGCACTTATCTCCAACTTTCAAGTATTGGAGCACTTTCTCTCCAACTCACAATATTTTCTAACTCGGTTGTGTTGGAGCACTTTCTCTCCAACCCATGACATTTTTTATCTTGGTTGTGTTGGAGCACTTCTATCAAACTTCCAAGGATGATGTCCTTCCCACCAACACATTTTTTTTTTGTTGTTTTTATGGTGTTGGAGCACTCTCTCTCCAACTCTCGTTGATGCCCTTCCCATCAACTCCTTTTCTTTTTGTGTTTTTTTGTATTGGAGCACTCTCTCCAACTCTCGTTGATGTCCTTTCCACCAACTCGTTTTCTTTTTTTCTTTTTTTTCTTTTTTTTTTGTTGTTGGACTACTCTGTCGCTAACTCTAGTTGGTGCTCTTCCCATCAACTCTTTTTTTTTTTTACTTTCTTGTGTTTGGTTGTACTTTTTTAAATCTACAATAGTTTTGTAAGTCTTTGTTCTTTGCATGTTTTTCATTTATATATCATTCGTCTAGCCTTTGTGAACATGATTATTGGCAAGATGGGCGGCATATATGGGTCATAACCGCTCACCGACATTAGAATTTTTATGATCTTCTATTAGGATCGTAAAAGCTTTGATATCAATTTGAAGGAAAATATTTTATTTATAAACTCTTGTATCTTTTGTATATTTTTGTGTATTCAGTATTTTCTGTATCTTGAAAATAACAAGTAACATACCTATTTATAAAAATAAAAACCAAATTAAACTAGGACTAGGAACCACTCTAACTAACAAATCCTAATTAAACATATATAAGAAAATACCATAAATAACAAATCCTAATCAATTAACGATTCCTACTCCATCTTTGAATTAATATTCCCAACACATACGATGAATCATGGGGTTCAAATATTGGATATAAGTAGAAGATAGCAAGAAGTGGGGAGGGGGGGCCTAGAACTACGCTGATTATGTGATTGTGGGGATATATCATGAGAGATATGAAGTTTAGCAATGGGATCAATTTTAAGTTGACAGTGAAATAGTTCAGATTCTGGGAAGATAGGTAGTGTGATGATGATGTTGTGAGAATTTATTTACGCACTTTTGAAAATATTTTGCCCAAAAGGATATGATGACTGATCAGGTTACATGACAGGACATAAAATTAAGTATTCATTGGGATTTGAAGTTGAGAAAGAGCCACAATATTGGGTGAGAAAGATTTTGAACCATGATGGCTTTTTCTTTGTAAACAAATCTTCGCATAGTTGGAAGAGGGCACTCAGGGAATGGAAGGGAGTGTTGGACTTATGCACTCCTTAATTCTTCTAAGGAACACATATGAACAGCAAGTTCCTTATTGGGATTTGAAGTTGAGAAAGAGACACAAGATTGGGTGAGAAAGATTCCGAACCTTGATGACTTTTTTTTTGTAAACAAATCTTCGCACAGTTGGAAAAAGGCACTCAGGGAAGGGAAGGGGGTGTTGGACTTACGCACTCCTTAATTCTTCTAAGGAACACATATGAGCGGCTAGTTTCTTTATTTGTAGTTCAAAGTTCGGTATTAACTTCAAACAGTACTTCAGTAATATTTGGCTTAATAATTATTAATTCACAACTTCAAACTACAAAAGATTACAACCTTATATAACCTAAGAAATTATAAACTCTAATATCTTAACTCAACAAAAACCCCCACGGCTTATGTTCCCCAAAGTCTTCAAGTTCCCCAACCAAAAGATCAAAACTACACTAGACAATTCTATGTAACTAAAAATGACAACTTAACAAAAGACCCAAACAAAATAGAATAAACTCTTCCGTTGTGTTCTTCGCAACAACTAAAATTGTCAATCAAGAACTCTCTCAACACGTAATTGTGTTCTGCTGGTATCTCTCTATATGTAAGTACGCGGGTTTCTTTATAGAACACCCTACCCTATTTATAGGGCCAAATATCTTCCCTTCTTTGACTTTAACTCAAATAACTTTGTAGTGCCTCCTACTTCTTGTATGACTTGGAATCATACGAAAAGTTTGGTTATACATTATACATGCTTCCCCTTCCTTGTAGAATTCAGAATCATTACACAATACGGTTATTGCACAAATCAGACCACATCATTCAATGCTTTTAGGATTATTATTCTTAAATGGAAAACTTCTTTGTTTAGTAAAACTAGTTTGAAGAACTTGTTCCTCGTAGGTGATCGATGCGGTTATTTGCAGTTTTGATGATTTGACAAACCACGGGACCTTGTAAAGGGATCTGATCTCTGTGTCAGTGTATACACAAATGCCAGGTTGTAAAAAGTACAATTGGTTGGTGAACAATCTCGGACTGTGGCAGAAACCTCAGCCAATGGCATGGCCTCGAAGGTAACATCTATTAACATAAAAATATTATGTCCAATAGACACAACCTTAGTCTTTGCAACTTGAAAACTCTCAAGAACTCTTGCAAAGTCTAACACTAAAGAAGTATCATCCTCAAGAGCAACAGGGACCTGATAGAGCTGGATGTTCTCTAGTTGTCTTAGGATCATATCTTCCGTACTTACATTGTAAATATGCTTCTAATCTATAAAGGATTCTGATTTTATGTTTGTTTGTAAAAGTCTAAATCAGTTTAGGCTAACTGATTTAGTGGGCAACACTGTTTGCTACTTAGTCAAATTCTAAGTCATTTAGGAGTTAGTTGATTTAGTGGAAAGTGTTGTCACTTCTTAGTTGAATTCTAAGTTGTCTAGTGGTGATAGCTTAGTGGGCAGTGTGGTATCTGCTTAGGCTCAGTAAGTAATAGAGTTATTACCTAGTTGTGAGATTAATAACTACTTCTCACGTTGGTTGTAACTTTGTTTCACTTTTGCTTGAAGATATTAGTGGAAACAGTTGAAAATTCTGTCAGACAGGTCCTGGTTTTACTCCCTTGAGCAAGGAGGTTTCCACGTAAACTTCTTGTGTTGTGTTCTCTTTATTGTTTACTCTTCATTACAATTCTTGCTGAGTCAAGGGACCTGGTCCGTTGAGTGATAGTGGATGCACGTATTCTATCAATTAGTATCAGAGCGGGTGCTCTCAAGCTGGTTAACACCAAAAGAGAGATTCCTGTAAAAGAATGGTTGCTCCACTGAACCTAGAAGAAGGACAATCATCAACAAGACCACCTCGTTTCAATGTCCAGTTCTATAGCTGGTGGAGAAAAAGTATGCACGACTGTCTAATGGCTGAAGACAGCGAGTTGTGGGATATAGTACTGGATGGACCCTTCATCCCTACAACTGAAGTAAAAGATGGCGAAATTACAAAGGTCGTTCCAAACACTTGCCAATAGTACAACGAGGCGGACAGAAAGAAGATCGAGAAAAGCTACAGAGCTAAGAAGTTGCTAGTGTGTGGAATAGGTGCTGATGAATACAACTATATCTATGCGTGTGAATCGGCAAAAGAAATCTGGGATTGTCTGAGAACAGCTCACGAAGGCACAGAGCAGGTGAAGGAATCAAAGGTGGATATGTTGACCACCAAATATGAGAACTTCACAATGAAGGAGAGGGAAACTATTCACGAAATGTATACGAGATTCTCCTCCATAACCAACGAGCTACGATGTTTGGGAGAACCTATTCATTCTAGTAAGCAGGTCAGGAAGATTCTTCGAGTACTTCCCACGTCATGGGCAAGCAAAGTGGATGCCATTACTAAGGCAAAGGACCTGAAGGTTCTAACGATGGACACTCTGATTGGTAATATTCAGACTCGTGAAATGAATAGAAACCAAGACCCTTCAAGGAAGGAGGTAAAGAAAGATAGGTCCCTAGCTCTAAAAATCTCTCAAAGTGACGTCTCCAGTGAAGAGGAAGACATGGCTTATCTCAGCAAGAGATTTCAAAAAATTGTGAGAAAGCATGGAGGCTTTTGAAAAGGAGGGAACCCTTCCCATGCTGCGAATACAAGTGACTTGTGTCACAGTTGTGGAAAGGTGGGATACTTCATAAGAGATTGTTTGATGCTCAAAGCTGAAACCAGAGAGCATCAAAGATCCGGAGGTAAAAATGATAGAAGGAGGGACCTAGTACCTGAAAAGAATGCAAGAAAACCTGCAGTTGAATATGTGGTTAACAAAGCTTTGATTGTGTGGGGTGATTCATCAAGTGAGTCAGAAGAATCAGAATGTCCAGATGATGCATCCATGATGGTTGTTAAAGATGATGAGAATGTGTTTGATGGCTTGTTCGCTCTTATGGCCAAATCTGATAGCGAGGAAGACAAACAAAAGGTAACACTTCTTGACCTTAAACAAAACTTGAATACTTACTTTGTTAGAATGTTGAGAAATGTAGCTGATGTCCTGATTGATTCTGTTATAAAGTTAACTGCTGAAAAGGACTCTATGAACAATAGTCTCGATAAGTTTAGTGAAGAAAAGACAGCTCTGACTATCCATATGTCTGTTATTGAGGAACAATTGACTGTTCTAGATATTGAAAATCTAGAACTTAAGGAACAATTGGGTATTATGAATGAGAAATCCGGCAAATGAAAAGGAGAGGTGTTGGAATGTATGCGTCCATCTATGTATATGGGACTAGGTCCTCAACACAGTTAGAGTAATAAATAGTAAAGAACAAATACTGAAACTAAAGATTGATATTCAACTTTACGTGGAAACCTCCTTGCTAAAGGGAACAAAACCACGACCTATTCTCAATATGACTTTTCAAACTACTTCCACTAATCTTCCCAAGCAAAAGTGAAAGCCAGTTTACAAAATGAGATTAGCCTGCTAATCTCCACACTAAGCAATACCTCCTATCACTTAGCTGAGCCAGAGCAGAGACAACACTGCCCACTATACTAATCCTAACCGATTAATATAGACTTTGGAGTAAGAAACTAAGTTACCCTTAACCTAGTTCTTACAATGATTCACACCAGTTTAAAACGTTTCTTTCACAAGTGAAGCGAATCCTACCATATAAGAAATATTACAAGCAAACAAAATTACAGCTGGTACAGAAAGCAATAGAAGCACTTCTATCAGGTCCCTTACTATTTTGAAGCTTGAAAGTATCTCTCTTTTGAATGATTGATGAATATGGTTGTTTGTTGTTTGATATATACCATGAAGAATTATTACCCATCATACAAACAACTTTGTCGCTTCTAATTGGTGAAGTACTCTGCAACTTCACCAACTTTCTGACGCGGACAACTTTTATAGTTATGCAGCACTTTGACCACTGAATGAGTATTCATACTCCGCAGAGGACCAGGTTCCTGCACTTGTGAGGAGATCATCAAAACATCTAGGAACATAAGGACTTATCAATTTCCCCCTTTTTGATGATGACAAACAACCTACATAACTCCTCACGTTAGTGAACAAACATTCATTCAATAACCGGTGTTCCCCCTTAATCAGTTCCCCCTTATTCCCCGAACGTTTAGCAACAAAACGTTCCGTCTTAATCAGTTTCCCCTTAATCCCTGAATGAATTGCAACAGAACTTCCCCCTTTTAACATCATTGAAAAGGTGAAGCAGTAAACATATCCAAGTTAAAACATAATGCAATTAAGAATTCAGGGCCAGGGGCCACACAGAACATGCGTATGAAAGAAAAACGATACGATAAATGCACACATGAATAGGGCAGAAAATGGAAAGACCATTATATCACATAGACTGACCACTATAAATAGTCAAAACATAAAGCCACAAGATTTTGGGTTACAGGAATAAAGAGAGGAGAAACTCAGGACAACTAAGATACATTTAGGACGGAGGGAGAGAGGAATTAAAGGTACGCATCAACAACATCATGCTCTCATTGGCACTCTAATGTGCCTGAAGAAGTTGCTTGTTTAGGGACTTAATTTCCTCACTAAGTGAGGCATTTGTATTTAACAGCATCACATTTTCATCTCTTAACTCTTGGAGCACCTGCTTTTGATCCTCACTGGTACCAGGTCCCCTTGAGACAGCCTTCTGCAGTTCAGACTTGAGTCTAGCAATCTCAACCTCCTTGTCATTCAGAAACTTGCTGAGATCATTCACCTCCCTTTTAAGAGTAGCATGCTGCTCTAAAATATCTACCACTTGAGATTTACCCTAAGCCTGTCCCTCAATGCACTCATATTCCAGTAGGGTAGAAGAAGTGAACATCTACTTGGTGGTACCAGGTACCCCCTTTCCCAAAGGAACTTCGAAATTATTGAACACAAAGTTCAGCAGATACCCATACGGAATACCATGCTTGGCCTTCTTCCATGTCATTACTCTATGCATATGCTCCAGAATAATTGTAGAGAGGTTGATTTCTTCAAGCTCATCAAGCTTTTCAATGAGAAAGAGATTGGCAACAGATGCCACTGTTTTCCTCTTAGTCCTAGGCACCAACACTTTGTTAATGAACTCAAACAACAACTGATATTCCCCTTAGATAAACTTCTTAGGGAGCCCTGCACGCTTAACATCTTCTTGTTTTGTAGCAAGCTTTGTGAATTAACCAAATGGTTTACATCCTTCAATTATTTGAATCCCTGTCACAGGCACTCCTAGGATGATCCATAGTGTTTCCTCGTCCAAATATATTTTAACATCCCTGACAATAAAAGTGATTCCACCGTCTTTCAGAAGTTCCATTTTGTAGAAGAATTCACGCACTTCAGGTCACTCTACCTCTGCAGTGGACAATGCCACAGAGTTCTGCTTCTTGGTTCCCCATGAAATCAGTGATGATCCCAGAAAGTGTGCCATGCCTGATGTGCTTTTTTGATCAACCAAAAAACCTGCATAATCAACATCAACATAACCAATAAGATCAAACGAGTCACCAGTAGGATAGAAGAGGACCAGGTCCTGAGTTCCCTTCAAGTATCTCAAGATACGTTTAGCTGCCTTTAGATCATATTTATTTGGTGCTGCTTGAAATCTTGCACACATCCCAACACTGAACACTATGTCTGGCCTGCTTGCAGTGAGGTACAGAAGTGACCCAATTATTCCCCTGTACATGGTCTGATTGACCTCCACACCATTGTCATCTCTATCAAGTTTAATACTTGTACTCATGGGAATATCCAGCCCATTTGCCTCAAGAAGATTGAATTTCTTGAGCAGCTCTTTGATGTACTTCTCTTGAGATATTGAGGTGCCTTGAGAGGATTGTTTGATATGCAAGCCTAGAAAGATATTGACCTCCCCCATCATGCTCATTTCAAACTCACTACCCATCAAGCTAGTACACTCTTTGCACAGTGAGTCTGAGGTAGCTCCAAATATGCTATCATCCACATATAGCTGCACAATCAACATTTCCTTACCTCTAGATTTTAAGAACAGGGTATTATCAATTTTACCTCTCTTGAACCCATTGGCTAGCAGAAACTTTGACAGGTGTTCATACCAAGCTCTGGGAGCTTGCTTTAACCCATACAAAGCTTTATCCAGTTTCAGCACATGATTGGGCACGTCTGCATTTTCAAAGCCTGGAGGCTGCTTAACATATACTTCTTCCTTCAAATTCCCATTCAAGAAGGCACTCTTGACATTCATTTGAAACAGCTTGAACTCCATGTGAGCAGCAAATGTTATCAAGATTCTAATGGCTTCCATTCTAGCTACAGGAGAAAAGCTCTCATCATAATCAATCCCTTCTTCTTAGTTGTAACCTTGCACCACAAGCCTTGATTTATTTCTAGTAATGGTTCCATGCTCATCAAGTTTGTTTCTGAAGACCCATATGGTCCCAATAATAGTTCTGTCGTTCGGTCTGGGCACCAGGTACCACACCTTGCTTCTCTCAAACTGATAAAGTTCCTCCTGCATTGAAGTTACCCAATCTACATCATGCAAAGCTTCTTTGATGTTCTTGGGTTCAGTGGATGATATGAATGATGACTATGCAACTAGAGTTCTTGATTTAGATCCAATTTAAATTCCTGAGTCTAGTGGAGAGATGAGATTGTCCCGTGAATGCGAAGATTGATGCTTCCATCCGGACTTTCTGGTAATCATTTCTTCTCTGTCAGCATCAGAATCAGCTTTATCTTCTTCGAGATTTTAAGACAATGTTTCCTGTGATGAACCTGAGGGACCAGGTGCTCCTGAGTGTTTTGCATCCTTCTCTTTTGTACCCTGATCAACCTGTTGTTTGTTCGTCAGCTCCTCGAACTCGTAGTCCTCATTGTTCTCATTCCTTGTACCAGATTGATCAAACTTGATGTGCATGCTTTATTCAATACAAAGAGATCTTTTGTTAAACACCCTATACGCATTGCTTGTAGATGAGCACCCAACAAATACACCCTCATCACTCCTAGCATCAAACTTGCCTAATTTATTCTTTCCATTATTCAACACAAAACATTTGCACCCAAATGGTTTAAGATGTGCATTTGAAGGTTTTTTGTCATTTAACAGCTCATAAGGTGTTTTTTTGATGACAGATTTGATAAGACACCTATTTGTCACATAACATGCAGTATTAACTGCTTCAGCCCAAAAATTCATTGCAAGTCCTAAATAAATCAACATAGCTCTAGAAATCTCCACCATAGTTCTGTTCTTTCTTTAAACAACTCCATTTTGCTGAGGAGTTTTTGGTGCTGAGAAGTTGTGGTTGATTCTATTTTCTGCACAAAACCCTTCAAGTTAAGAGTTCTCAAACTCTGTACCATGATCAGATCTGATACTAGCTATCGTCCGCAAGAACACGTTCCAAGTAAACCTTGAAAAATCATCAATAATGACAAGAATATATTTCTTACCTCCTCTGCTTTGAATTCTGATAGGTCCACATAAGTCCATGTGGAGCAGCTCCAGAGGTCTCGTTGTACTGACTCCCTTCTTAGCTTCGAATGATGACTTAGTTTGTTTCCCTTTAGCACAGGCATCATAGACTTTATTATTTGAAAACTTCAGTTTTGGCAATCCACGGACCAAGACCCCTGTAACAAGTTTGTTCAACAAAAAAGTACTCACATGACCCAGTCGGCAATGCCATATATCTGCATCATCAGTTTGAGCACTTAGACAGGACAAAGCATCTTCCTTAATAGAGTCCAGATCAGCAACATACATATTTTTTACTCTTGTAGCAGACATGACAACCCTTTTGGTAATGAAGTTTGTAACCAAACATATGTCAGTCATTAACTTGACTTCATTTCCTTTGTATTTTAGACCCTCCACATAGTGTACATTGTATATAAAATTATCAGCAGATCTCTCTATTCTACTAATACCAAGAATAGAACCCTTCTTTCCGCCACCAAACGACACACCACCACCATGGTGTGCATTCAAAGAGAGGAAGTTTAAAGTATCTCCAGTCATGTGCCTTGAGCATCTATTGTCCATGTACCAGCACTGACTCCTTCCTCTCTTCTGCATAAGAATTACTTGTTAGATTTAGACACCCACTTCAAACGGAGTTCCCAATAACTATCAACAGGCTTGATAAGAAACCTTCCTGTCCAGGGGGAAAGTGTTCTTACTGAAACGATAATGGGGACCAGGTCCTTTGTGTTCCCTTTTA